ACATACTTCAAATGAGGCGTACGCCTCAATTTTTTTTTGCCTTAGATGTACTGGCGTGCGCCTTATTTTTTGTGCCTCACAGTTTGAACCTCGAGGCACAGAAGCTGCACCTCACAGTGAGGTGGGCCTCAGCAGAGTTTTTTCATACCATGGTGCTTAGAATGCAAAGGTTTGGATACATTTGTCCAAGTTTGAAAGTTTCTAAAAACGCAAGGATTGATGTTTGGGACCATTTACACCAATTTCCCATGATTAAATTATGCTAAGTTCCCAGTTATAGATTCTAGTTTTGGTGAATGGCCTAAATTGTGCCTCTTGCATTATTTTATTTTGACCTTTTAGTTTTATATACAATATGGGTGCATTTTCACAACATCTTCGAGTATCCAAGATAACTTTTTAAATTTATATGTTTCAATGGGTGAATTGTCTTAAGTTCGAAGTAGTTAAATGTTTCTGTAATTATTCTGTTTCAGATTTCTGATGCAAATATTGCCATAACTGATACCAAACCCGGAGCGACAGAAACAGTCATCATAATATCTGGGACGCCTGAGCAGACCAGTGCAGCACAGAGTCTCATTCAAGCATTTGTAATAAGCGAGACTGATGCATCTTGATCTTTGATAGAGGTATTTCTTTAGTTTTTATGACATCAAATTAAAAATACATTTTTTTCTGAGTTGATTTTTGGCAGGCATTTACTAATTAGCATGTTTGGCTAAGCTTAAGAAGCAAGTAAAGTTACTTCTAAGTAAGTTTTAGCTTCCAAACATGTTTAGAAATGTTAATTTCTCTTTACTTTTTAGAAAAAAATAAAATTACTTATTCTGAAAGTAAATTACTTTCAGAATGAGTAATTTAGCTTAAATTTTGACAAGTCGAAAGAGTTATTTAATTTGAAACTTATTTACCTATAAATTACTTCCAGAATGAGTAATTTAGTTTAAACTTTGACAAGTCGAAAGAGTTATTTAATTTGAAACTTATTTACCTATAATTAAACTTATCTATAAATGAACTTTTTCAACTTAGCTAAACATGCTGATATGTTCTCTTGTATGATTTCATAGTAATTCGGATGCAAGACTTTAGCCCCCCGTTTGACAATCATTATCCAAAAACTCTTTTTTCTACATATCCATTTCTAATTACACATTCACACAATAAAATATTCTGCATGTAAACCCAAAGCTTTCTCATACTTTTTAATAACACATTGTAAAATTTGAGATGGAAGAATTCTGAAGACTTGTAATGCTGTAAAACTTTCTTCTATTCAAGATGATTCTCACAATACAAGTTACAAAGAATATATATACACCTCACATGTGAGACAAAAGGAATAAAAATCTGTTACAAATGAATGAATATTCTTCTATCATAACTGAATCCATGTGCAATACAAAACAGATTATGAAAACGTGTAGTCTTCTAGGCTCTTCCATTGTACAATCAGCAATGGCTGCTGATGAAGCTCGAATTGGTGAGTAGGATGGCAGATCATTCCTTTAAGTCCTCAGCTTTCTCAGCTTGTGCTTTATCTTTCAACAGCCGCCTGCAAGATGGAGAGTAGATATGTGCTGCTCCCATCTTGGTCATGTGAAGGTAGAAGCTTGCAGATTTCAGGGTCTTAGTTAGGATGTCCGCGACTTGAGAACCATTATGCACATATTCAGCAACAATACTTCCAGCTTGTATCTTTTTCCGAATGAGATGACAATCAATCTCTATATGCTAAGTTTTCCCATGAAAGATAGGATTTGTGGCGATATAGATGGCTGATTTATTGTCACAATAAAGGCTAGCTGCTTGACCGTGCTTAATCTGTAAATCCTTGAATAAGTATCTCAACCAAGTTAATTCACAGCAAACACTCACCATGGCTCTATACTCTGCTTCAGAAGATGATCGTGATATTACATTTTGCTTCTTTGATTTCCAGGACACTAGAGATGAGCCAATGAATATACAGTACCCTGTTACTGACCTTCTAGTGTCTGGACAACTTCCCCAATCCGAATTTGAGTATCCTTTTAGCTGTAGTTCAGAGGTAGATGGATAGAATAAACTTTCTCCTGGAGCTCTCTTAAGGTACCTTAGTACTTTCTGTGTTGCATTGAGATGTGGTATCCTAGGTTGATCCATATATTGACTCAAGAGTTGAATTGAGTAGGATATATCTGGTCCGGTTATGCTCAAGCATAGCAAACGTCCAATCAACCTTCTGTAAATAGATGGTCAGCTAATAGTTCTCCTTCTCCCTTGGACAATTTGATGTTTTGATCAAGTGGTACCTTGGCTGGTGTTGACTCTATGGTTCTTGAATCAGCAAGAATGTCCAGGGCATACTTTCTTTGGCAAATATGTATCCATTGTTTTGATCTAGTCACCTTAATACCTAGAAAGTATTTCAGCTTGCCCAAATCTTTAATTTTGAATTGTGCATCAAGAGCTGCCTTTAGATTGTTTATAATTTCCAAGCAATTTCCAGCCATAATTATATCATCAACATAGACTAAAACAATCATGAATAAGTTTTGAGTAGACTTAACAAATAGACTATAGTCTGCCTTAGATTGAGTAAAACCATGCTGAAGAATGAAATTAGATAACTTTGAATACTATTGTCGTGAAGCTTGTTTGAGATATAAGCTCTTGCGAAGCTTACATACCTTTGAACAACTAGCATTATCATAACCTGGGGGCAGTTCCATGAATACTTCCTCATCTAAATCTCCATGCAAGAAAGCGTTGTTTACATCTAATTGGTATAGGTACCAACCATTTATGGCTACAATAGCAAGGTTCGGACGGTGACAAGTTTGGCTACTGGTGAGAAAGTTTCATGGTAATCCAAACCTTCTTGCTGAGTGTATCCCTTTGCTACCAGCCTGGCTTTGTACCTTTCTACACTTCCATCAGCATTAAACTTGATTTTGTAAACCCATTTACACTCTATTGCCTTTTTGTTAAGTGGCAAATCAAGTATAACCCATGGATCATTCAACTCAAGGGCTTTAATCTTATTTTTCATAGCCTCACACCATTCAGGAGATTTCACAGCCTCTTGGTAAGTTCTAGGTTCATTTTGTGTAGTGATAGAGGAGACAAAAGCCTTATGAGGTATGGATAACTTGTCATATGACACACTAGAGCTGAGAGGATAAGGATTACTTGAGAGGATGGAGCCTCCTTTCTTGTCTAATGCCTGCAATGGGGAAAGCAAAGTAGCCTGCTGACATATGAAATCCTGCAGGTATGCTGGAGCTCTTCGAATTCTGGTAGTCCTTTTAGGCAAGTGAGGTATGATTTGGTTGCTGTTAGGCACACATTGGTTTGACTGTTGTCTATCTTGATCAGTTTGAGGGTTATTGTTGTAAATTTGTTCTGTGTTTTGTGTAGGATTAGGGAGATGTGTAGATTGATTTCCCTTTCTTTGAAAATATCAGTTGGAGTAGAGCTGACAAGATTTTGGGGATAGCATAGATCGGTTGGATTTGGTGGAGCATGTATGTTGGTGATTTTAGTTTCTTTGCATGGAAAGATAGTCTCACGAAACACAACATTTCTTGATATGAAGACTTTATTTGTTTCCAAATCAAGGAGTATGTAGCCTTTAATACTAAAAGGATAGCCCAGAAAAATGCATCTCCTAGCTCTAGAATCAAAATTTTGCCTGCCATTTGTGAGAGTTGTGGAGAAGGTAAGGCATCCAAATACCTTGAGGTGAGAATATGAAGGTTTGGTCTAAAACAACATCTCAATGGGGCTTTTGTCGTTCAGTAGAGCTGAAGGAGTTCTGTTAATTAGATAAACAGCAGTTAAGGCACAATCATTCCAGTTTTTTTAAGGCAATGCCACTCTAAAATCTTAGGGCCATTGCACCGTTTAAAATATGCTGGTGTTTCCTTTCAATAATAGCATTTTGTTGAGGGGTTTCAACGCATGTTTTCTGATGAATAATGCCCTTTTCAAGGTAGAATTGGTTCATGCTAAACTCTCCTCCATTGTCACTACGAATAACTTTGATGTTGGTTTGAAATTGAGTTTCTATCAGCTTACAGAAATTTTGTAAAGCATTTGTGGCTTCAGATTTCAATTTGAGCGTATATATCCAAGTACATCTACTAAAATCATCTACAATAGTCGGGAAATAATGAGATCCATCGTAACTAGTTTCATTGCAAGGTCCCCAAATATCACAATGTATTAAATCAAAACACCTTTCTGATTCGTGCTGACTAACAGGAAATAGAAGTGTGTGCAACTTTGCTAAGGGACATACAGAGCAAGGTTTATTATGGGAAGCCAACTTAGGTGTTGCATCTTAAAAAACAAGAGCAGAATGGGATGGATGCCCCATTCTGTAATGCCACATATCGAAATCCTGATTACGGTTGATAACAGGGGCTGAAATGGGAGATGTGATAGTTAAATGATTTAATCTTTCTTGAAGGGCCATAAGGGAGATTGTTGAAGGCAGGACATGATAGAGGCCAGACTTTTCTTCACCCACCCCAGGCGTTGTCCAAGTCGAAAGGTCCTGTATGAAGCAAGTATCAGAAAGAAAAACAACATAGCTATTTAGTGCCTGAGTGAGCTTTCTAACAGATATAAAGTTAAAAGAAAATGAAGGAATGCATAACACATTATGGAGAACTAGAGTGTCTGTGACATGAGCAGTTCCAACATGAGTTACTAGGACAAAATCTCCATTTGGTAAGGTAACTGAGCAGGTGGCTTGGGGAAAAATATGATGGATTACAAATCATATGGTCTGTTGCCCCTGTATCGAGGATTCAAGGGGCTACAGAATTATTGATTTTTGCAGTGTTAAGAGTAGATGAGCAAAGTGATATACTAGAAATTTTGGAAAGAGCACTGCCAGAATCTGAAGTAACAACACTTTGAACCTGGTTTGCTGAAGGACTTATAGCCTTGAGCCTTGTAAGATTCATCTAATTTCATCACCCAATCACGATTCTGATTTTCAATTACTACCTTCAAACCTCCACACGTACAATTAGGGATGGATTTATAGTTCAACAATTCATGAAGCTGAGTTTTAAACTTGGAAAAATATACACTAACAGCATCCTGATTTTAGGCCAATGTTGTAATGGCCTGTTTGATCTAAAAAATTCTAGGTACATTTTGTTGAGCAAAACGTTGCTCCAACTCTAGCCATAATTGATGAGCCGTCTCAGCATATGTAGTGCTGCATTTGATGTCCACAGCAATGGTATTTGGAGCCAATTGATTACAATATCATTGCATCTAAGTCAATGCTCCATCAGTGGATCATTGGGATTCTGTGGCTCACGGAGGCTTCCATCTACATATCCTAAGAGCTCTCTTTATCGATCTGGCCCAAGAATGGTAGTTATTTGCGTTGAGTATATGTGTGACTAAAATGGCTCCAGGGTCATGATTGCTGCCAATGTAATAGGAGCTACTGAAATGCGTTGGATCATGAAACATTGAGTTATTGTTTTGAGTTTGGTGGAAGATTTGAAGACTTATTGTCTGATTCCGCCATTATTTTTCTGATACCATGTAAAATCTGAGATAGAAGAATTTTGAAAACTTTTAATGCTGTAAAACTTTCTTCTATTCA